ACTTTGGGGCTTCCCCCGCTTATTAGCTCTGAATTCCGCAGGTGAGGAGCAGCCACAGACTGCCTGGGCTCTCGGCTCAGTATTGCTAAGACTGGCATGAGGTGTTAGCCTGGGCTGCCAATAATCTCATCTGGGGCTCAGGGACCTCTTCCAAGCTCACCAGCTGTTGGCAGGGTTTGGTTCTTTGAGTTGTGGGACTGAGGTCTCAGTTTCCTTGCCAGATGCCAGCCAGGAACTGCTCTCTGCTCCGAGGCTGCATCCTTCCATCTGTTGCTCACGATGGGGACATTTACTTTCCTCCAGCAAACAAACAAGAGAACCCTTAGGGGGAAATAACCAAACTCCTTGATCAACTAAGTACAGATTTTTTTAAAAAAATCATACATAAATGTAAATTTGTGATGTCCAATCTGGAAATGGCTCAGTATACTGCTGCTCAAACATTATTGGTAGTGGAATAATCTGGTAAAAACAATTTATGAAAAGCAATTTGACAAAAATGTCCTTTTGACACAATAACGTCATTCCAAGAAATGTGTCTAAAAAGGACGGTCAAAGGGGGAAAAGGCCATGGTACAAACATTTTAGATGCAATGTTAAGTATAATATTGAAAGACTGGCAGTGACAGAAAGAGCATGCTCGCCTAGATTATTGAAGAGCATACCTTGAGACCATTTAATTAGGAGGAACATGTTTAAATGTGTTAAGTGAAAAAAGGATCAAACAGAATTCTGCATGTAGCATGATCCCATATTTTAAAGATACTAGAGTGTTGGGGAAGCTATGAGGGAAAGCAGTACTTTTTATATATAAAGTCAGTTGGGATGCAATTTGCAATGTGAGTAATAAATTTAACAAGTGATCTGTTTGAGGATCCCACTTCTAGAATTTATCCTTCACATACATTTGTACATGTGAACATAAAATTGACTGCAGACTTGTTAAAACTGCAAAAGAAAACTGTACAATACAACACCCATTAATTGGTGACTGATTAAAATCACATTGGCAACCTTTAGTGGACTATTATATAGCTGTTCAAAAGTGAAAGACAAAACAGAATGATCTTCTGACTTGAAACAATCTCTAAAATAGGTTTTTAAGTTAAAATAGTTAAGATGCAGAACAGTATGACAGTGTGCTCTCACTAGAGAAAATATAGCCAATATGCACTTGTATATGCTTAGAGAATTCTTGAAAAGGAACTCTAAAACCAGTAAGAGTGTTGCTTTGGGGTGCAGTAATTGATAGGGACAAGAGAGTGGGAGTGTGAATTAAGGAGACTTCTCTTTCGTAGCCCTTATTTTTGGTACCTTTTTAGTGACTCATGGATAAGTAGCTCTATTTCATTACTGAAACAGAACCAAGCACATTCCCTTAAATCATGTAATCCATAAACCTACTTCACATGAAAATCAGCAGTACTTTTGCCCAACTGCACAGCAAATTCCCAACACTGCAGCACTCTCTCTTTAAAACTTCAGTGATGTTTCTGAGCATCTTCCAAAAGAAATTGCTGACAACAAAACCATGCAGTTTATTTTGTACCTATATTGTTTTCCATGTATTAGTCTAGCTATTTTACCACACCAGGAAGAATGAGTGTTTTCCTGATGGTATGTGGCTTTTTGTGATAAGCAATTAAGTTAAAAAAAAAAACAACACCCTCATGACAGGCTCTTAAATATTCAGTTTAGTAAAATTCTGGACTAGATTTAGTATTGCATAATTTTAAACATTGCTAGAATATTTTAAACTATTTGCATCCCTGTTGTGCATATTTAGATTTTAAATATCTTGCTATTCATGATGGCCTCATACCATCACTAAGTAGTATCTCAATACATAATCTATATATAGGCGGAACTTTTTCTTTAATGATAGTGGTTATAAATTTGTACTTCATATAGACGCTTGCTAGCTCCCAATGTTATCTTTTTGTCTGACTTCTTGGCAATATGAACAGGCTGTTTCATTTCATAATGTGGCCAAGGACATACTGGCAGAAAGAGAAGTGTTAGTTAACTAAGCCATGTTCTTATTGTTTGCTTGTGTCTGCATTCATTGCATTCTTTTTAATCCTCTTTTTCCATTCTAGAATTTCTTTATTTTATCTGCCCATTTTGTGAAGGTTGATAAGTTAAAACAAAGTCATTTAATCCATAAACCTACTTCACTGAGTGGACCTACATCAACTACAGTCCTTTGAAATAAGTCAGAAGTGAATTAAGCAGTGATGGCCTTTTGTGGATCTCTCCCCCTTTCCTCACAATACATCACAGGTCATACAGGACAAGGGACCTTCTGATGTACCCATTGAATAAGGAGGTTGTCGTCAATCCATACTGAAAATATTAGTCGAGCTCAATTTCTTATTTTTTTAAGATAAAAAATATACTTCAGGATGCAAATATTTTTTCTGCTTCCCCATGGATCTTCTTGGGCTTTCCACTTTGGCAATCTCTGTGCTAGGGCATGAGCCATTTTTAGGTGGACCACCATGGAAGTCCTTTCTGTCTACATTGCTGGGTTAGAAAAGGACTGCAGAAAAGTACACTTGGACTTCTGAAAACCCAGGAGTCGGGAAAAACAAGAACTGCCACGCAATTCGACAGAGGCTTGTACTTTCCAAGTGGAAGTTTTAGGGATACACACTTTCCATCTCCTACCCCAGGATAGTTAGAACATCTTTCGGGGACATTTGAGAATACACATCTGGGATCCCACGGGTCAAGAGCGTCTTAATAAAATCCCAGTCCCATTTAAACCATCTGATCTTAGACCTTGTATTCCAGCCTTGGAAATAACCCAGACTTTGTCTTCTTCTCTCTCCCCAAAGGGAAAAGGCTCATTTTAAGGCCAAGGGACATTATAAATGACAGAGTCATCGTTTCCTGTTTCCTTGGTGAAGAAAACCCTGCATAGGCACCTGTGGGATGAGTTGGCTGTTAGACCAATGTAATAGGGTTGGCATCTGAGTCTAAGAATCAAAGATGGCAGAATCCACAAGATACGCAACACCTTTGTGTACTACTCTGTGCATTTCAACATTGTTATGACGTCCCCCTAAAAGCTACTAGTAGTTATGTCTCCATGAACATTTTAAATTAGCATGATTTAAACTCACGTCCTCAAAATCTTTGGAGGAAGATCACATTTCAAAGAAGAATCTCATGGAGAAATCAAACTATATAAAAACAACTCCTTCTCCTTCTCCTTCTCATGGTATTGGGAATGAGGTACTCTACTACTGAGCCACACCCCCAGCCCTTTAATTTTTTTTTTTTTAATTTTGAGACAGGGTCTAAGTTGCCCAGGCTGGCCTTGAACTTGTGATCCTCCTGCCTCAGCCTCCCATGTAGTTGGGATTATAGTGGTGCACCACTGCACCTGGCTTAAAACCTATATTTTATTTTATACAGTCCTGGGGACCAAATCAAGGGCCTCTCACATGCCAGGCTAGTACTCTACCGCTGAACTAGATCCCGGCCTTTGTTTTATTTTAAATTATATCAAGTGATATATATTTGGGCCCTTAAGGCATCAGGTTTTATTGCTCTCCAGAAGGCAGCCACCCTCAGCTGAACAACAGAAGACAGGGGCTCAAGTCATTTTATTTCTGTGTTGGCAAGTCGGGGTAGGATGAAAGCAAAGCCAAGCGATGTGGTTACCTCCACTTCGGAAGGGACAGACCAGAGGTGAACCAGTGCCAAAGCTTGGAATTCAAAGCTCTTTTGGGGGAAAAAAAAAGCTTGAGAGTCATGAGGGGGCATTTGGTACTCAAATGAGAGAATAAAAATGCTTGTAACTTATTTAATACCTGGACATGAAAGGTGAGGTAGAAGTCAAGATTCCTGAAAACGGCCCAGGGGTACCCATAAACAGAAGGTTCTGAAGCCAGAGCTAACACCATAATCACACTAAGACACTTTGATCTTTTTTTCTCTCTATGGTTTACAATTATGATTTGTGGAAGTAATATTAACCCTTTAAAAGTGAGTGTCTTAAGTGAGATATTTGGTTTTCCACCTTCCAGGGCAGGAGTCTGTCACCTAGCGGTGGCTGCAATGCCCCATTCAGCTCTGACTGGGTACCATCAGAGAAACAGGTCACTGGAATAAAAATCAAAGAGCATCTGTGGATGTAGCCCTGAACTTCCACCCTTAAATAATGAGAAGTCTATCCTTTTAATGTAAACTATCCCATCATAAGTGGGCCCTCAGAAACCTCTCTGTAAGTGGCTGGGATGATGATCTGGGCTGTGACAATGATCTTGGTGTGCCAACACTGCCAGTTTTCTAACAGACCCCCCCCCACCACCCATTGACTGGCATCCTGTTAGTTGCTGCCACTCACACTTTCCCTGGAAACTCCCTGATTCCCGAGGCTCGAGTTAGAGAAACCAGGTAAGTTTCATTTTAATTAATTCCATCAGCCACAAAGAGCTTGTTGGATCACTCCTCATCTACTACCAGTGGGGGGACCTCAGGACCAGGGTGTGTTAGGAGGGATGGAGCGACTTCCTGGGCAACACGAGAACATCAGTCAGAGGAGGGCATGGCGCCTGCAGATGGCTAAGAAGTTGCCATTCTAGGGAGAGACGTGAAGGCCAAAAGCATCACTGTAATGGCACAGTTGTGAAGCACACACCGTTCAATGAATCACACTCCTGACCTCAACTCCCAGCACTTTCCCAAGCACTGTGCTTGATTTCCACCACAAGGTGGCAGGCGATGGCCCTCTGATCCTCTGATCCTCTGCAGCCTTGCCCTGGTGGCACTCAGAGCCAGAGTAGTGCCAGCTCCAGCCGTGACTTCCAGCTCTCAGTTACACCTTTCATGAAGTTGCTATATGCAAAACTCTTGTTAAGAATGGAAGGTTCTAGATGCAATCCCCACCCACTCACAGAACATATAAAGCAAACTGATTTCTGTTTTCATTATAAATAATAAACTATACAAAAAAAATCTCCTAATTTTATTGGTTCCTATTTACAGTGTTAAGGAGAAAGTTCTGGAATCCAAGTCAGAGGGCATGAATTCCAGTCCTTGCTCTTCTCTACGAAGACACTTGACCTCAGGAAGCCACTTCCCCAAGCCTCGATTTCCTCCTTGCCACAATGAGAAAACAGGACTTGGGTGAACTCTGGGACACCCTCCAGAAACCCAGGCATGAAACAAAATAGCATGAGGAGAGAGCAAGCGGAAAAGAATGAAGTAGGGTGCAAATGTACGGTCCTGCAATGCTTCATTTACACCACGTCCTCGGGGAATGGGCTGTTCCACATGGTGAGTTTTCCAGATAATTGAATTTTAAATGCTGAAGCTTGTTTTTCTTTTAACCTTCTGTAATGGAAATCTTTCTAAAGTGTATTACACGCTTCTTTGGCTTTTTAAACAGTATGCTGAGTATAATTTAGCCTTTCCTTAATGTCCCTGGGTCATCAGGATGACCATCTCTTACACCTGTATAGTGCTTCGTGGAATATCAGGTACTCTGGGCACATTCAGGTGGGCAGGCCCCAGAGACTAGAATAAAGCTCTAACTGACCACTCTTCCTCTCTGTTGCCTATATCACTCTCTGTGTCATTTCTCCAAGTAACACCTTCTTGCAGCCTCTTGAAACTCTGTTTCAAATCTGCTATAATCCAGACAGAACTCTAGGTTGCCATGGGTAACCGGAGTCTAAGCTGGAAACAACCCTAAATTTAATTTTACACACAATTTCAAGGCAACGGGGGAACCGTGCTGAAGGTTACTTCTGGCCAGGGCTGATACTCGGCTAGTCCTTCCAGCATGGAACTCTTGTGGGCCAGGCAGCTTGTCCCTCTGACCCCCTGCCTGCCCCTGAACCTGGCTCTTCTAGGACCACACACTCCTCACACTCCAGTACTCTCTGGCTAGTGGGCTCAGGGACACTGTTTCTACAAATGCCAGGGTCCTTTCCAAGTGGTTGGTGCCATGCCACACCAGTTGTGCAAAACAGTAGTGCCCTTACCCATAGTTTCAGTTATTTGTGGCCAACCACGATCCCAAAATACAGTTCAGTACAGTAAGATATTTTGAGAGAGGGAGAGACCACATTCACATAACTTTTATTATAGTAAATTGTTATAATTATTCTATTTGATCATTACTTATGGTGGCTAATCTCTTACTGTGCCTAATTTAAAACTTTGTCATTGGTACCTATAGGACAAAGCATAGTATGTACAGGGTTCAGTACTACCCGTGGTTTCAGGCATCCACCGAGGGTCTTAGAATGCACCCCATGGATGAAGGGGGACTACTGTAATTTGATTATCTCCCCAGTTTGGTGACAGAAGCTTTTTCTTTGTCTCTCTGTGAACTGACTGGCAGAGTTTGAGGCTTTTTCTCTTTTTCAAAACTCAAAGGCCTTTTCTCATTTGCAGGATGTGCTCTGGGTTCAGGTTGCCTGAGGTCCACTGGGTGGGTGTGAAAAGCTATTTTGACTGAACATCTACCGTGTGCCAGATGCTGTACTCAGTACATCGAGTAAATCATCTTTGCTCGTCCACTACACGGCCCTATTAAGGAAACGGAATCCACCTCCACAGTCACACGGCCAACAAGCAGTTCTGGAAGCCGGAGCCATCTCTCTCGGGCCTGAGTCCTCTGCACTCTGCTCTGTTCATGTTTATTAATGTATGAAAATGCCCAAAGTTCACATTCTGAAAAAAAATAAATAAATTCTAAAAGTGAAACGTGGGCCCTTCTATTTTTTAGAAAAGTCTATTTGTTTTGGTTTTGGTGTGTGGGTTTCATTTTAATTAATTCCACATTTCGTTACCAATTGGAACAATCTGTCCTCAGGGAACAGATCTGGTTTACTTATAGAAAGCTAGCGGAGGGAGTAACTGGGATTACAAAGTATTCCTTGTAGGAACTAAGCTAAAAACCTTTGCAGTTCTTTTGCACCAAACAGAGGTAAATAGAACATTCCAGAAAACACTATCTGCCTCAGAGGGTGGTGATAGAGCTCACAAACAGAACCTTCTTCGGATGTGTTATGGGCTATGGCTGCAAGATGGGGTGTGTGACATCAAACACAACTGATGTCCTTCCCCCATCCTAGAAAGTTCTCTGGAAGTTCACACCAGGATAAAGTCATTATCACTGATATGGAACAAGGACCTCCCAGAAGTCCTCCGGGAGCCTAGCACCCAGCTGTGGTCCTCAGGCGTGTGGGCCAGTTGAGAAGGCAGGAATAGTGCCTGTAATTCAGGGGCAGTTATGGATTCAGTTCTCCTAAGGGTCTGGGGCACAGAAGGCTGTCGAACCCACCCATGTCTATGAATTTCCTGTTCTTTCCTCAGAGGTGGACATTCCAAATTGATCTAAACTAATTTTTGAAAGAAGCAATCCATGACCTCATCTTGCACATGGTGCACCTGATCCTCCCACGCTGAGCACACGTAATTCTCAGTGTCCTTTCCAAAAACACACAGTGCTCTAAAGGAACCTGTGGCAGGGAGAAAATTGGAACTTGACTTGATATAAGGTGACTGGTCAAAGTATCTCCTGTGTCAGTTTCCTAAGGCTGCCGTTGTGATAGTAGGAGCAAATGTGACTCCATTTTGTTTTATGACTTCATCCTGTAAAACAACCATGCCAAGTAGAAGAGTCATGACTGGGGCAAGATGTTCATTTCCTTTTGCTATAGAAACCTTTAAGAACACGGAACTACCTAATGGGGCATTGTTTCTGTAACTAGGGTAACGGGACTCTGTAACTGGGGTGATTGGGCTAACTGTGATTGGTTAGGCTTCCCTCCACTTGACTGCACTGTTCCGCTTCTGCAACCTGGCTTGCTTGCATTGGCTAGACCCCCTGAACATCCCTTTTGAGGTTTTCAGGCTTATAACGAGTGCCCTTGCAATTGTTCGGGGCTGATCAGGGGAACAGCTTTATGTTCTGGTCAGCCGCCACCGGTGTGCTTCAATAAAGGCTTGATTCGATTATACGGAGTGGTCTGGAAGTCAGTTTATGAAACCCTGGGACGAAGCTTTAACTCTAACACCATAACAAAGCACCACAAATGGGGTGGCCTAAGAAACAGAAATGTGTTATTTCATAGTTCTAGAGTCTTGAAGTCCAAGATCAAGGATACAGCAGGGCCATACTCCCCTGGTGCAGGGAAAGATCTGTTCCAGGGCTCTTTCCCGGCTTCTGGTAATTCTCTGTCATGCAGCAGCAGAACTTCAGTCTTCACTTAGCATTCTCCTTGTGTCTGTGTCCAAATGTGCCTTTTATAATGACACCAGTCAGATTGCATTAGGGGCCACCCTACTCTAGTATGACCTCATCTTAACTCATCACATCTGCTACGGAGCTACTTCCTGACAAGGTTGCCTTCTGAGGTTCTGAGGATTTGGACTTTGACATACGAATTTTGGGGGATAACTGATAATATCATCGAAGATAATTCTGAACTTAAAATCAAATTCAAGAGAGGGAACAGACCAAATTGCCCAAAAGAATGCCTCATGTTATAGATGATTTCATCAGATTGGCAGTGTGGGCAAGGAGTCGGTGTGTTGGCCCCTGAAATTTGTTGCTTACAAATAATGATGAAGAGGCTGAGGGGGCTGTTGGCTGAGGAGCAGGGAAATACCTTGGGTCCCTACAAAACCCCAATTTCTGATCACCACTCTTTTAAGATAAAATCCACATGGGTAGTTGGAAATTCTGGTGTTGATAGAAACAGTCAGTTACAATGATTGAAAAAGAAACATTTTGAGAACATTTCAAACACTTTAAACTCCCCACTACAATTTGTCTTCCTTATTCATGAGGATTCTACCAACTGTGGATCCAAAATATTAAAAGGAAAAGAGCATGAACAGGCAGTGTGTGTGTGTGTGTGTGTGTGTGTGTGTGTGTCTGGAACAAGGGATTGCACTGAGGGGTGCTTTACAAACTGAGTCACATCCCCAGCCCTTTTGATTTTATTTTGAGATAAGGTCTTGTTAAGTTGCTGAGGCTGGCTTCTAATTCGCCATCCTCCTGCCTCAGCCTCCAGAATATCTGGGATTACAGGCCACACCTGGCCAGTCTTTTTTCTTGTTATTATACCCTATAGAGTACAGAAGAACCACTATATGCCATTTCCATTCTGTTAGGTATTATAAGTAAACAAAAATTATTTAAAGTTTATAGAAATTATGCAAATATGACACCACTGTATGTAAAGGACTTGAGAATTCTTGGATTTTAGAATACACTGGGGGTCCTGGAACCAATATCCATCAGAAAAGGAGGAACAACTGTACCCAAATCTCAAAGAGATTCTACCCTAAAGCTAGATGTAATTTGCCAAAGGGATTCTGCTTGCTTTGGATGTGGTTTGTCCCCCAAAGAGTTATGTGTTGAAGCTTTGATCCCTAGTATGGCAATGTTGGGAGGGGGTGTGGACTATTAACAGGTGGGGGCCTAGTGGGAGGTTGGGATTGGGGTGACTGTGGGACTCCAGTCTCTTTCCTGCTTCCCATCTGGTGGCATGCTTTTCCCCCTCACCTATCTGTTCCTGTCATGACACCATCTACCATTAGGCCCTCACCAGAATCTGAACCAATGGACTGTCCAATCTTGGACTTTCAGAACTTTTAACTAAATAAACTCTTTTCTTCATAAGTAGTCTCTGTCAGATATTTCAATTATAGTAATGTAAATTAAACTAACAGTTCCCCCCCCCCCCGAAGTACTGGGGATTGAACCTAGATGTGCACTACCACCTTTCTACTTTTAAATTTGAGATGGGGTCTAAATTGCACAGGCTAACCTTGAACTTGTGATCCTCTTGTCTCAAACTCCTGAGTAGCTAGGATCACAGGTGTGTGCTACCATGACTGGCCTAATACAGGGTGTGTATAAAAATTTGAATTTCCTTTGATAAATGGCTTCTGTTTTCCTTTTTTGGGGGGGTAGATGGAAGCCTTATTAATTTGTTCTAGTAATTTCCTTGCTGATGTCTGCAATTATGCTAAGGAGGTATTTGGTGCAGCTATAAACCATCCATGAAATTGTGCACAGGCCACAAAACAACAAAGTATAGCTCAGTGGTCAGGAGCACAGACTGTGGTGCAGACACTGGTTCAAGTCTGTTTTGGTCTCTTACTTCAGTGACCTTGAACAAGATACATGAAGCTGAGTTTTCTCATCTAAGCTGTCCTCTGGAGGTGGGTATGAAGTGAGATACTGGCTGGCAGATGCCCACTGCAGTAGACCCAGCTCAATAAATGTTATCTCATAATTATTCAAGAGAGCTAAGAAGTGAACCTTGAAAAAGAATCAATCTTGTCCCCTCCTCTTCTAACTCAATGTGGCTTTTCTCATACTCCTTTCACATCCTGTTCCTTCTCTTTCTTATCCCAAGTTACAGGGGAAAACAGAAATACCATGAATAAGTGAAGAAAGAGAACAAAGAAATACAGAGAAACTTGGACTCAGTGTATTCTTCCCTTAGAGGAAGAATACAGGGCCCACGGCTGCAGCTGCAGACTTGCCCTTCAGACCCAAGCGGACCACGGGTCGGTCCAGCCCCTGCGCCGGCCGGGGCCGCGCCCACTCACCTGGCCCCGCTCACGTCCACTCCGACCATCAGCTGCCCGTTGAGGGAGAGAATCTCGTCCCGCAGCCGGACCTTCCCGCTCTTGCCCGCGGGGCTGTTCTTCCTCAGCTCTGTCACCCAGATACAGCCCACGTCCAGCACGGGGCCCTGGTGGGTCTTCCTCTTCTTGCCTCCTCTGCGCTTTTCACCGTAGTCCCCGAAAACAGGGATGTTCCCAAAACTGAGGCCGACGGTCTCTGTGTCCCCCAGCTGCTTGGTGAGGTACACAGTACAGATCTCCATTTCTGGAGGGCTGAGGTCGGGGGGCACCGCACTCTCATCCACGGCCAAGTTCAGCTGGATGTACTCCTGCAGTTTCTGGATGGCCGCGTGGCAGAGCCGCTGCTCGGGCCCGTCCCCGCCCTCCCGCAGGCTGTTCTGCAGCCACTGGTAGAGGAGGGGCAGGTGCAGCACGGCATTGTCCTGGGTGATGGGCATGGTGCTCACTCCCGGACACCCGCATCATGAAAGGTCCTGCGGCTGGGGGCCGGACCCCGTGGGGCCCCACGTCCCTTGGGAACCCTGGCTGTCATCAGCTGTGCCTGTGTGCATGTTGAGGCTGGCAGATGAGCCTAGGGACGCCTACTCAAGACTGGCCCGTTGACCTTGGCAAGAAGAGGACAGGACACAATTAGGAAAACCCAGGAACGATGGCTCTGGGTGCTCCTCAGGGGAAGGGAGGACATAGCCAACAAGTCCTTGCTGAGTTCATTTCACAGCAGGGTCCATACACGTCCCATGGAAGCTGGGTATTCCTGCAGCAGCAACAGTGTGTCCTTTCCTGGGCTCATTGGCATCTAGGAAAGGAAGAGGAAACAAACAAACAAACAAAAAATCAAAATAGTGAGCCTGGTGGCACAGGACACAAGGCCCCTGGGCTTTGGGAGGACCATGTTTGCTTTTCGAGTTGGAACCTAAGGCCTCTCTCCATCCCCCAGTGTGGCTCCCTCCACACCCATGCAAACACACACTTCTTTCAGGCAGAAGCTTCTGGAACCCTGACCTTCTCTAGGAAGTGTCCCTGATCAGCAAAGAAGTGAGATGCTTTTTGCTACATCAACCCCCACCAACATACCATCTAACTCACAACCAACT